CGAATTCAGAAGGGGTGCATTTATCTACATGAACAAAATGATAAACAGATATGCAATATTTCTATCAACCCAATGACAAGATGTAATATGGGAATTTTACATTTGATTGCTGAGAGTAAATGATGAACCAGACTCATAAAGGGCCCTAAAGTCAATGTCCCTTTTTGAGCCTGAGGCTGTCTGAGATTTGTGGACCTGAAGATGTCTAATCACCTGTTTTGAGACTGTAACAGGGAACCCCTATCCCTGTTATTAGGAAGATCTGAGAGACTAGGGAAGCTGGGGCCAGGAAAGGCAACAAGCAGTAGCAGCCCAGGTGGCCTGAGACGAAGACTAAACAGGATAGGTGGCTAATGAGGCAATTAGCTGCACCTGATCCGTGGGTGCAGATTGAATCACTTGGCCAGAAGGAAACTAGGTTTTGGGATATAAACCCAGTCTCTGACCATACAAGAGGCAGCCTCTGTATGTGGCAGGGCGAGTAGCTCCTGGGAGGCAGGAGCAGCTAGAGATGGACAGGCAGTTTGAGACAGGAAGACCAAGCTGTGACTACAGGGTGGAGGAGATCATGAGCAGGGGTGCCTGGGTAGAACTCCCCTGATATAGGTGTGGACTAAGGCTGAGGGTGCAGACAGAAAGGGCACCAAGGATGCCATAGCTGAAGCCCTGAGAGATGCTCAGAAGTTTCTCAGGGCACTCCCTTGAGGGACAGCACAGGCCACAAGTGGCAAGAAAACAGACCCCAGGCAGGCAAGAAAACCAGTGAGGTTAGTCCTGGCCTCAGGGACTGTCTCCACCAAAAACAAGCAAAATACCATCAAAGTTGTGGCAGGTCAGAGACTTTCCTCACCAAAGTTGTGGCGAAGTGGAGGGAGAAAAGAGCTGGCAGACAGATTGGACCACAGGGGGCGGGCAGGTGCCAGGGTGGCAGTCCTCCTCCCAACCTTCCCTCCAAAGGTAACATAGAGACACACAACTAAGAAAGCAAGAAAGTAGTTATATAAGGGGGCTTCCATCAAGCTGGTTGTGCAGGGCTACTGTTCTGAGGACAGACAATCTGACTTGGGGGACAAATGTATGCAGTTTTTAGTTTTATGGGGTAAGACTGAAGAAGAGGGTATGGAAATGGAATTGATAATGGGGTTATTAGGCAGCAGAAGACTGGGAACAAATTAAATTTTGGACTGTGAAAAATAATTTAAGTCACGTGAACTACTAAGTAACACAGACCATTTTTGAAAGAGGCCCTTGTTAAACTTTTGGCAGCACTTTACTGAGGGTAAGGCCCTATATGCCCTGTTAATCTTTACTGGGCCCCGAGCATGTGAGAATTCCCCATGTGGAAGGTGAGAAAGGGAAAGGTTGAGCATGCCGGAAGAGTCCTACTTCTGTATGCTCTTCTTCAGAGCCTGATATGGCCCCTAAAGTGTAACAATCTCCCTTGTTCATCCAGTAACACTTACTGAGCAGCTCTCCACCCAGCTGGGGCAGCAAAGGCCTGCAACACAGTGCACAAAGGGCTGCAACACAAAAAGCTAGATCCAAACAGATTAGCAGCTACTTAACTGAAAGTCAAGTTGGGGAGGGGGGGATGAGAAGGCAAAGCCACACAAGTGTCTACACTTGGCAACCACGTTGAACCAGATCTTGGACATTCCATCCATTATTAACTCCTGCCTCTTCCTCAGGAGTCACCGAAGGTCTTGACACATGGGGCAAGACCAGCATTCATAGCGTTAATGTGGTGAATGTAGCCCCTCTGTGCATGTCATGGTTTAGGGTCTACCCAACTCAAGGCAGCAGCCGGATGATTTCATGGGCAGATCATGGGGCCAGCCACCACTTTCACAGGCTTATCGTGGTGCCCCCTCCACCCCAAACAAGGGGCCCAGTGACCCTGCCCCTCACTGCTGATTGGCAGAGAGGGATGTCTGTTGGGTGGTTCCACCCCTTGTCACTGATTGGTGAAGTGAGGCAGGGCCACATGACTGGCAGCCCTCTCAGTCAATCCATGGTGAAGGGCAAGGGAGCAGCCATCCACCTGTGCACCTTCGTGATAGCAGCTCCATTTGTGATGGGCTGTACAGCTAGGAGGACTGCTGGCTCCCACTAGGAAGTCAGCATTTTTTTTAGTAAGTTTCTTCCCCCCCGCCCCACCCCCGTGGCTTTTGCTGAGACTACCCAATTTCATGATTTCTGCAAAATCCACGAAATTGCAATTTGAGTAGGTCCTTAGCCATGGCTTATTCTAGGCCGTGGCAGAGAACAGGCTCAAACCCGTTCAAAGGCAAGAATAAGACAGCAGATTCTTCATTACACAGGCCTACTGGCCATTCCCTTTTCATCAAGATTAAGTTACCAAAAGAGTAAAAGATAAAACAGAACAATCTGACACAGAATTCTTGCCCATCAACCCTCCCAGTTAAAAATTCAATGAGGCTTAAAAAAATGTTTCTTCAGAAAACAGATTTTTTTTTGTCTAACATTTTTCAGTTTTCAGGTTTCCAATGAAAAAATTTTGTTTTCACTCAACTATTTTCTAATTGTCAAAGCTGGTAACGTTTTGGCTTTTCCAAAGTTTTCCATTAAAATAACACCCTTTCCTGTTAGCTTTATACAGTAACCAAGGGAGCTGGAGTAGTGGCTGCAGTCAGGGTAGAAAACTTTTTCACTGGCGTTCCAGTATATCAGGCTGCTTGGAAGCTTGATTTGTCCCCAAATTAATTGTCATCCAGCATAATAATTTTGGAATGTTTTGTAGTGAACTTTTTCCCATATATGACTTTGGCTAAGCTCATTGGCTCACTGCCAGGCTAAACAAAAATCCTTATGAAATTAGTCTGAACTTTGAAAGGTACAGAAATAAGACAGTCTTCCAAAACTGAATCTGCACAAAACATAGAAGAATCAGATACAGCCACTAAATTATGACAGACATGGAGGACTTATTCTTTTCATAGATTTTACACTACACTTGTGATCTAGATTTTACACTACAGTTGTGATCTATACCTTTTTAATGGTTGCTTCAAGAAGTGTATTTTTATAAATGATAGCAGTCTCATTAGGAAAACATTATGACATAACATACTTTAAAATAGCCTTCTCCAAAAAACACTGCATCAAGTACCATGACATCCAAAACACTAGACAACATCCCTAACCTACACAAGAAAAATAACTCAAGGCATAGCTTTGTCAGTTATAGGAAAAGATCATCAGCTTGGTATGCAGACATGTTATTTTACTTATCCCTCTGCTCCTCCCCCTCCCCCTTTTTTCTTTTCTTAATATATTCTTAAAGATAGGTATTTCTACTACACTTAGTTCAGTGCATTTTATGATGCCACATGATGAAATTATCAGAGTCTTATTCCATATAAGTGTTATGTAAAGAATAAAGCAAAAATGCAACTAACACATTAAAAATTGCAGGTACATCTAGATGTTGATGGGAAAAGGTATAAAACTCTTTTGCTAACCTTTATTTATTACTGGGAAAAAACAGTACTGGATTTACTGGCACAGCTTATAAAAATAAATATGCACAGTAAATCTGGGATGTGAAGTTACACCGACTGCTGGTTAAAAACCTCTGCTATAGAATTCTGATCTGAATTAGTCACCACAGCAGCAAAATTTGGCTCAGTGAATCTTAAGTGAACTTGGGATGCTTGCTCCCTCAAATCAGTGGAGATAAGGGTCTCATGGTTCCCAGAAAATGAGGTATTGGCTAGTCTCCAAGCGTCCTTATAGGCTTATCAGTATGGCAGTAACAGAGGCTGCAAGAGTATTGTCTTGTTACTCTCAGGTATTGTGCATGTGTGATATGGAGGGAATGGCAAGTTTTTAAACTGAGAAACCAAACTAAAAATAACAATGAAAAATGGGCATTGGTCCATATTCTGTTATATGAGATAATTTGGCAGGAAAATGTGTTCATGCTTTATTTCCAGGAAGTCTCTTTTTAAGCATTAAACTTAATATTAGAAATGTTTAAATTGGTCCTGCTGCCTTGAGCAGGGGATTGGACTAGATGATGTCCTAAGGCCCCTTTTAGCCCCATTGTCCTATGATTCTATGAAGTTTCTTGTGTGGTGTCGACTGAACCATGAGCAGCACCAAATATACAGAATAGTTATCCAAGTATGAAAATCCACTACTGATTTTGATTAAACAACACAGCAAAACTGAGGTATCTGATAACAGAAGTTATACTCAGGTATGAATGACATAAATATAATTTTTCTTTAGGAAGAAACAAAATACCATTTTCTTTCACAGAGCCCAGAATTCAGCCAAACTTCCTAGCCATTTCTTCCATTATTTATATAGACTTTCTGTAAAGTTCAACATCACATTGGTCCTTTTCTGCAAGATGCTTCATAGCCTGAGACCAACATGTCTAAAGATCATCTAGGCTACAGCCCACAACCCTACTCTCCAAGCACAATGCAACTTTCTATCATCCATGAAAGAGTTTCCTCAGACAACCAGCCTGAAACTGTAGAATGAATTCTCATAGGAACCAAAGAGTATCACAAACCTCACCACCTTCTGCTGCAAGTACCAGATGCCTTCTTACACACAAACGTCTGTTTAAAAAAACCCAAAAAACAAAGCGCTACCGAAACAAAAAGGACAGCCTTCACACATAATTCTCCACCATGGCGAGAGAATGAGAGAAGGAAGCATATTAGCCATTAGTCATGCCACTTAATGTCTATTGAAAGAGACTGTGGTAATAGGGGTAATATAAAAAAAACCTGTCAGAAAAGAAATGATTTGATCTCTAGAACTAGAATGAATAACTGTTTGGTTAAAACACCAAGCAACTGATGGAAGAATTGTTCCCAAGTTGAAAGTTGGATGACTGGGCAGATCCAGACTGTGGCTTTAAATCTTGAAATCTTAGTCACATCAGTCTGTAAACCAGTTTCAGTGATGAATGGATTCTGGTTTACTGACAAAAATTCAGTAATAATTTATTTATTTCTTACCTAAATGGTGATGCTTATGTCCGAGGCTTACATTGAGTCCGCTGTTTTCATGAACTATAACTGCATATCCATGCTGTGCCAGGATGCGCTGGTATAGCTGAAGTTCTCTCTTACTGTGGGAACGTGGAGCACACAGAACTGCTCTTTTTGTATGGCTTCCAAAGGACTTAAAAACAGAGTCTTCAACCTAACAGAATGAAAAGAAAACACCCTTAAAACAAGAAACCCTTCACTATTATAAGATATTGCTGCCACTTTTCACAAAACATGCTATTATCTTACTAGGAAGTATGGGGGATAGGTCTACATGCAGCCTATGGATTCTGTCTGATACTGGGCCTCAGCGTTTGTGTCATACTCCAAATTATCCCCGCTGTTGGCCTTTACCTCCATGTTGGACTGATATTCCATGGGTAATGGCACAGTGGTAACAATGGAAATGCATTAACTGTGATGGTCCTGCATGCCCAGGGCTGACTCCTAAAAAGTCATCCTGCCCTGTGAGCTGGTAACTGCAAAACAGATTACCTGAAAGGGGACACTGATTCCTGAAGAAGGCTTGGACATGGGGACCGTAGGTTATGAGAGACAGGATCTCTCACTGACTGATCTACTGAGTAAAGACTAGAAATAGATTGTAGGAGTGAAAACAAAATCCACATGCATGAGGAAAATGGCAAAGGAGGGATTCTGGACTCCTTAAAAGAGTCAAATTAAAGTCCAAAGAACACTCCACAATGGTGAGAAAATGCAGATCAAAGTTTTATTGCTTAGTTGGGCTCTTGCTGTCTAAACTGAACCTGGTTTATCTTCTTTTTTTTTTAAATTTTTTATATTTGCCTTGATATTCTTCAGTTTTCACTTGTCCTTAAAGAGGAAGTGCAAAATTAAGCACATGCTTTCCCAGAGAATAGATGCCCTTAAACCAGTGGTGCTCACTCTTCTTATACCCAAGGCACCCCTCAGAAAATGCCAGCATCAGTCTCGGGGTGAGGGAGCTGAACCATGGCGCCTCAGTTTTCAGAAAAGGGGGAGGAAGAGAGGGGAGGGGGCACAGGGCAAGGAAAGGAGCTGACAGCCTACCTAGAAACTCAGATACAGCACCTGAACTCTACTCATTTTCAAGAAACTTATAACAAACAGAACCCAAAAGCTGACTGATTTTCCAGCAGCAAGAGACTTATGAGGGCCACAATTCTGAGAAATGGGGATGTTGAAGAATACAAAAAGTAAAACTTGATTTTTTTTGTCTTGCATATTTGTCAGCCCCAGAATCTGTAGAATACACAGACCACCAGGCCAGAGAAGCAGAACCAAATACAAAATTAAGCAAATTTTCTCCTGCTGCTCTTTTAACTACCAACATCTGAGGATATACAACTAGCTTAAGCTCCCTGCAGTAAAAGGGTTCTGTACTAATCAGCTGCTGTGGGAAGACGTGGAGGAAAGATGAAAGGTGCCTGAGACTTCTGGACCAATAATTCAGGCACAAGATCTCTCAAAACATAGGAGTCTCTCAAAAGCTCTAGATTTTTTAGCTTCTCAGGTAAGGTCCATGTCCATGTTTGTGCTTTGAACAGGACCAAGCACAGAACCAATGCTTAATTTAAAACAAACAAAAAAACACTTTATGTTATAATTTATAGTATGTGGAAAGTGAAGTCAATGGGTCAGCGGGAACATGACCAGTAATGGCCCATATGTATTATCCAGTACAATTGATATCAAGTCTGAGAGGCAAAATGGAGAGCCAAACAGGTAGGTGGTGTAGGGAGCAGGATTAACTGAAGAGATAAGCAGGGAGTCCACACAAACATGGCAGGAGGGGGGAGATTCTAGCTGTAGGTAAGTAGTAGCAGCAATCCAATTCTACCTTTTTACATAGCCATGATCATGCACACCATGAACTGAGAAACATGGATGGGCAGCAGAGTCAGGTACACATCAGTAGCAAAGCAGGGTGATAGTTTTCTGTGACTTCCTAGAGGTACTCCCTTCCCTACAGAGATTGGTGTCAGCAGCCTTTAGGGGTAGCCATCGTCCTCCACTAAACCCGAACAGTCTACATACAGAGTCTGTGCTGGATGGAAAGAGAGCAATCTCCCCTCACCTCCAAAAACTGGACAACTTCTGAGTCTGGTATTTATTTTTTGAAGAGGCTAATTCTGTAATTACTAATCTCGGGAAAGAATGAGTTTCATAATCTAGAATCAACTCCTGTGGAAGCTGTCTCCCACACTCCTGATTCGAACTTTCCTGGCTGCAAGTTTCATTCCTCCAACTGACCACGGGTGTCACAGGGCACCACAAAAGTAATCAGAGGCTATTAGTTTTCAAGTGACAAGCCATTTTTACACAGCACCTTATTTGGGAAAGAAAAATATACACATGCTGTGAACTGCATAGAGCAAAAAAAATTAAATTTTCCATGTAGGGAAAAATTAAACATACCTAGAGAGAATGTAGATGTTCTCTTCAGTAAAATAAAGTGACATGTAAAAAAGAAAAATCCTATCTTTGTGAAAAGTATTTCTACACAGGACTGAAATATAAGTGTTCTATTTCAAGTTATAAAATGATCTACACACAAATTACAAGATACCAATAAGCAAAGAAAAAGTTATATTTTTAATATTCAAGTTGTCCTGCAAGTTCCAGTTAAGTAATAAGCTGACAAGTAGAATGCATGTGGTAAATGCTACACAAATAAGGCAGCAGCAGCCTTTAACTAGGCAACATTAAAAGGAGACACAGATGTTTTGATGTAAACAAATGACATTTAAGATGCTCCCAGTTGTTTATAACTAGCTTTCAAGTGTTGCTGCAGTCTCTACAGGATGTAGCTTTATATTACACTTGGCATAAGTGTAAAATTCTTTGCAGCAATGAGAAGTATAAACTATTTTCAGTCTCTGAATCACTAATGTTTCTGCTGTTACAGAATACACATCCTCCGTGATGAATAAGCATAACTGATGATGAGAGAAATATGCCTAACTATGATAATGTGAGAGTTTGTATAGATATATTTACTGAACCTTTAATGGAAGAGTATTTGATAAGTAAGGATAGTCAAACCATTCCAGTTGTATGTAGAAAGTTTCAAGAATAAAACAGGAAATTATCAGGTCAAAGGAATTAAGTTACATAACCTTGTAATACAGCCTCCCTTGTCCGTGCAGTATTTTTATAACCTATTACTCCACCAGGAAGACCAGAGTGATCAGCGCTACAATGCCTCATAGCACTGCTTCCCACCACTCTCCTTTTCTCCCCCATTCTGTTTTTCCTTTTTTTCCTTTCCATTTTGTTCCCTACTCTCCATGTAGTTGCAGTAGCCTGAAACCCTGTTCTCTCATTTCTCACTTCCCTCTTCCTCCCCCTCCAACCTTAAATACAGCCTTTCCCTTCTCCCATGCCCTGTGCACTGTGTCTATCCGCTCCAGCTGCCTTATACTAAGCAATGGTACCATTTCAGCAGAGAGAAGTTTGACTAGTTAGTTATGCCCTAATCTCTCATTTTACTTTCATAATGCAAAGGAGTCTGTTTATGAGGTGCCCCTAGCTGTATATTGATTTTCCATACTACATATGTTGCACCTGCAAACACAACAAGATAAATTAAGGACAGATGGAGGGAGTCTATAGGGTACAAATTGTGAGCTACGTTCAGGATCTGGCTTAGTTTGGAACAACTATTTGTTTTCCTCTTGGTGTCCATTCCTTTCTGATCTAGTTGGCAGGGAATAGGTCCTCCTCTTTGTCAGACCACCAGGCACATTCCCAGTACTCAACAACATTAAATGCAGTTTTTTTGCACTTACTATTGGAGGCATATTCTAAACAGGTCTTCCACTTCCACTGAGAGAAACTTTTGTTACATTATCCTGCAGCAGCATGAGAGGATTCTCCTGCTATTTTGCTTAAAGCAGACTAACATATTTTCTCCCAAATATCTATGGTCAAGTATATTTCCTTCTTAAACTGGGAGGTACTCCAGGAATGCAACCTTAGTTTCACCTCATCCTTCTCCCTTCACAGCCCAGTCATACCTTCGCTAAGCTCCAGGCCACTCCGTTCCTCACCATTTCAGTAGACTCTCCTGTCTTCAGGAGTACTCTTATATCTTCCCTGTCCACAGCTTCAGAACCTTCCCTTTGTGCTTTTATCAGAAAGCCTGTCTCCTCTTTGGAAGTCAGCCCTTCCTTCTCCCAGATACAGATCCCTCCCTCTCCTACTGCCCTCACTCCCTGATCCATCCATCCATCGCAGGGTTACCTGTACAAAGACTGCACCCCATTTTTTGAGGCTCCTATTAATTCACTTCAGGTAACCTACTTAGGGAGGACTTTTTAGGATGATAAGAGTATAGTAAATCTCTGTTTTCTGGAATTTAACTAACCAGAATACTTAATTAACAAAAATTTCAGTGGTGGGGTGCACACAGCGCCACACACTTTGCTGCCTACTGCACCACTCTGAGGGTACCCACGCAGGGTATCTGAGTGTGCATGCCCCTTCTCCCCCTGCTGCAGCAGCCTGTGGCCAGGCTGCCCTGGCATTTGGGGTGGCTGACTATTATGGCATTTTTATCTGTACACTATTTTATTCTTTTAACAGTCTGTTATACTGTAATGTATTGTACACTAATTCTTTGAAAAATTGCACTACAAGTATGGAACCGTCTTCCTTGAATATAACTCTCAGATAACTGGAATTTGAATATAACTGGCACCCCCCATTCCTCACTCATGCTGGATAACAAAGATTCTAGTGTACTTAGTAGTGCTTTCACCCACAGAGCACTCATCTCCAAGAGTTTTAAAGCAGAATAAGTACTTTCTACTATTACCCAATGTATGTGCTGCTCACATAGATTCAAGCCTGGAGTATGCAAATCATAACAGGGATGCTGCCATGCTATCTTTTCATGAGTGGTTTGCCATAGGTGTGCACAGCTGCACAAAGATGTCGGATAAAACATAAGAAATATATACAAAGTTGAAAATAAACTAGGGGCATGTGTACATGGTTACTAATATGCTAGGGACCATGGGCTTTCCTATTTCAGTTAAGAACAAAGCAAAAATAAATACAACTGTATTACAGTGTGCTTTCATTTGTTATATTATGTATAAAACTCTCAACAAACCAGGCAAAAATTTCTCCTCACATATTTTCCTCACATACAATATACACTCTTTGCCTATAAATCAGCTACTCACCAACTGGGCTGCAAGAATTAAGCAGTGAAGCTGGGGTTTTAACTTTGGTTAAGCAGCAAAGGGCAGGTGAGTGAGCTGAAGATTAGGCTCTCTCTCTGCAGCCATAGGTCTGAAAAAATATCTTTTCTCCTTCATTCTTCCTTTCAAAAACAAAGCTATACAATATAT